AGAGAGAATTGAATACATTCCATTGAATAAGAGAAAGCATTCAAAGAAATGTGAGGCACGCAGGTGGATTTTGAGAAGTGATTCCCTTTAATGGAGCAAATACAGAATTCATTTATAAATGGGCAAAGCAACAAAAATAAAATTCAAAATAAATAATCTTAAAGCTTCTTGCCACAGTTTAAAAATGTAGCATTCACAAATATATACATTTGGGGGCAGTGAATATAATTTTGGTTCAGAACAGAGAAAAAATACTGAGACACTGAAAAAGGTAATTTGTAATTTAAGACAATGAGAATTACAAATTATGATGAAAAGATGGGGAGGGAAGGAGTAGGATGAGCGAGAGGGAGGTGGGATTTTCCATGGTCCATCAATCAATCTGCTATTGGTCCATTAGTATTTGTTTGCTTCTTTCATGTTCAGAATCAGAAAACAGTATGAGTTCATTCTTTCTCACAATTCCTTTTGTTATAGCAATGCAGGCAGCCTGCAAGAATATCCAACAGACCAAAGCTCACCCACTTCCTCCTATAATCACTTTGATGGATAAATGTCATCACAATCGGTTAAATTAGAATACAAGGCATCAGGCTGAAGGAGCATTTTTCAACAAAAGGGATCACAAGCTACTTTGTTTTGGGTTAAAATATGTATTAGTATTTGTCTGTGATCAATTTCTAGTATTGCTTCAGTTTCTAATGTTTAAGTATCTTTTTCTGCAAGAAAATATGTTAAGGACACATTTTAAGAGCAGATAGAGAGTAAACCCAAGAAATATTAGATAGGAGAAAGACTGTACTTAAAAAGAGATTCTAGTGTGATAGTACAATTATTGAAATAATGATCAAATGAGGAAACATACATTTTAAACTGCTATATTATAGAAAATGTATGCTTATAAATACTAGAGCTCAGAATTTTGTTTTTCTACTTTGCCCATTTATAAATGAACTCTGATCTGGTCATGAGTGAAAAATATTGCCAGATCCTTAAACTCATGTCTGCTTGGAAGGCTATCTTGAAATTCTTTTCAATAACTTGGGTCTCATGACTTTGACCAGAGTAGTGTTCCTAAACTTAGCAACTTTAAGATAGGTGGACTTCAACTCGCAGAATTCCCCAGCCCAAGTTGAGGAACACTGGATCAAAGTATAGAGGCTTAAGCCAAAATTGAGCCATTTGGGATGCTGTTGGGAAGGGGCCAAATAAAAAAATGGGGGAACCAAATTCCATGCTTGCTACCAGAAGAAGGAGGAGTAAAACTAAAACAGGAAAATAGCAAAGCCCTTTTATCATCTATGGAGAGAGTACACTTGTCTCATGGTGTTCTGGTTGCCACATCTAAAAAAAGGATATTGTAGTGCTAAAAAGTTAAAAGAAATGCAGCTAGGTAATTTAGGGGCTACCACAATTTCCATAGGAAGAAAGACAACAGTGCCTGAAGCTTTTTAGCTTGGAGACAAGGCATGAAATGAGACTCCTTATAGAGCTATACAGTATAGAAAAATTATGCATGATATAGAAAATGCAGATAGAATTTTTTTCTCCTTCCCTCACAGTGATAATATGGGTTCACCTTTTAAATCTAAATGCAAGATTTAGAACTGATTAAAGAAAGGTGTATCTTCACGTATTATACATATCTAATTTGTGGAATCTATGGCTATAAAATTTGGAGATTGTGTGAATTCAGCATCTTCCAGAGGGGAGGGTCAAAAAAAGGCAAGATAGAGAAAACAGCACTACAATCCAACCCATGATCTGCATATATATTTTAATTTTTAAAAACACTGTAAGATGGAATAACTCTTCTGAGTTTACTCTGTGAATGGCAATTGGATTCTGGATCTCATCAGTCCTACTATTAATTGTCCAATGTAACCAAGAAAAATAATCCCTCCTCAAACAACTGGAGCAACACAGTCTATAACTAAAATCACTTTTCTCCTATATACCATTTAGCCATCCCTTTCCCACTTCCTTAATCCTCTTAAAAACTTTTGCATAGCTGATAATTGCAAGTTGTACTACATATTTTTAAATAGAATAGAGGTTCAAAAAGCAGTTACAGAAGCTCTGTGAGAAGAAGCTGGGCCCAGTCTACATATTTCCTGCCTTCATAACTGTATTAATAAGAATTTTGAAATAGCTGAAAATGGGAGTGGCACAAAATGTGATGCTCTAGCTTTGAAACTTTTGCTTCAAAACTCTTTGAGAAAAGAGTCAGAAAGGCATAGAAAAATTTCTTTTATTGTGTGTGCATCTTGACTTCCTTTAAGGATTCATGCTGGTATCTTGCTCTTTTTCTATTCATAACAATGCTATAAGGTAGATTGGACAGGGGAATGTCTAAATGTAACCAAGATAAAATGCCTTCAAGACCCTTAAACATGGTAGATTATATCTATCACTTCCGAGCAGCAAGGCTGTGAAATAAAGTCTAGAGGACTTTCTTCCAATGATAATTAGTTTGAAGATGGACTTACCTAAATGGCCTTGGGGCCTCCTGCCTTACTCTTTCTTGAGTATGTTCCTCCTAGGAATGACAAGGCCTGCTCTGAGTTTGAACCACCAGGGACTTAGGAGTTTACTTTACAGTGGGAATTGTGACTTTATCAAGTTGTCTATGACATCATGGCTGATCTCACTTTGGTAATCTGATTGCCTTTCGGCTACAGATGGCCAGTGGTAAGAAGGTTAATTTCAAACTTCCTTAGCATTTCAGACCCAGCAACATATCTAGGAAGAAGCTGGAGAAAAGTCACCATGATAAAATAAGGTAACTCATCCATAATTGTTGCATGACCATGAGATAGCATTTTGACAAATTATACAGAGATCTGTATGCTAGCTTTAAAACTCCTTGAATATTAGCATTGAGGCAAAATAAACTCGATTCCTTTTAGTGTGGTATAGGTACATGGGTAGGTAGGTAGGTAGATATGAAGGAAGGAAGGAAGGAAGGAAGGAAGGAAGGAAGGAAGGAAGGAAGGAAGGAAGGAAGGAAGGATTTTAATCATCTGTGTATATAATTGTTTACAATGGTTTATTTTCTTTTATTAATGCCTGTAATAAGAAGGTTCGGACAGTTAACCTTAAAAAAGAGATGGGAGGTGGGGAAAATAAATAGGGAATGCAAATTTATTTCACTCTCATCTTTTTTTCTGTATTTGCCAGTAAGGAGCCCAGTTTATGTCAGCAGTTGTCTTGGTCATGTGCCAGAGTTAAGACAGTGGACACCAGGCAAGACTATCCCCAGGACAAGTGGTGGCAGAATTAACTGGGAGCAAGAAACTGGGGGCAGAGATCTATTGATTCAGAGAGCCTGTGGGAAAGGAGGCTGAAAATCTGCATCTTGCAACCCTTATCTGTTCAGCCCTATTGCTTCAAAAGGCTTAAACTACTGCTACCATACTTGCCTACATTCTTTGCTTCCCTCCAGAAGTTATCTAGATTTTTGAGGCCAAAAGCTGCATGCCCTACTTAAAATTTGCAAAGACTTCATGTTAATAAAATAACCCATTCGCTCCCACAAGTGTGTTCTCTTCTAAGGCTACAATTGCTGTAAGATAAGGAATCTGTTAAGAGCAGACAATCTATGGCCCAAGTAACTGACTGGAGCTGCTGGAATTTTAACACACCAATATCTGGAGAGCCACTGATTCCTAAAGTTAAAGGGCTTGGAAGTTTCTCTATATTACTATTGGTTTTCATATATAGACATATTTTTAACAATAGATAGAAATGAGCTCAGCTTCTTTCCCAGGACAATCTCTCATTGCTTGCAAACCTGCTTGTAAAAAAAATTGATTAATTAATTGATTAAAATATGATTGATATTCAGTATCCTCCATAAGCCCTCTGAAATCCCATTACCTACTATATCAATATGCAAGGTTCTGAAGACAAGAACCAAGTATAGAGTTTCCTCTTCTCTATGGTGGCCAAAATACGCCCAGTTATCACAGATAGTCAACATTGCTTATGTATGATCAGAAATCCTGACTCTTCCCTCTTAAAATATGTTTAATTTTCACAACTTCAGGAAGGGAACCCAAAATTTGGATACTGAAATCTGCTGTAAGAATGCTAATCATGCTAAAATAGCATGCTGCTCTATTTGGCCATGGATCGTTCCAAGATTAATTGTATTGATCTCCCAGCATGAATTTCTCTGCAGCTTTGTGCTGAAAGCAGGTTTCAGGATACAGTTAACTTGGTTGGGCCAAAGTGGCCCAGTTCATTGACCTGGTTGGGTGATCCTAAGCAACACATTCGCCAAACACAGAGTAACAGAGGCAAAGTGTTTCATAGGCTTCTCCATCCAAGGACAAAGAGAGGTTCTCAAAAGATGCTACAAGTTCTGCCTAACATCTGGGGATTTGTATAGTTGGGTGTTATAATGTACAGTAGCTTTATGTTAGATCGTCTATAACTTCAGCTATCCCTCCAGGCTCACTGCCACTTGTCCAACTTTTCTCCTGAGAATGTGTTTGCCTATATTCCTCAGTTTACCACAGAATTCCAGAGCAAATGCACTTGAGAGTTTTAGATGTGGGTTAGATCTAAAACTCAATTCAAAATCAAATCCATATTCGTTCCAGGCCAATCTGCTGTAATTTCGGATTAGAGCTCTCCTCATTTTCCACTAACAGGTAAATTCAGCAGCACGCTGATTTGTATACTTTGTGCAAAGAAAATGTTTATTTGTTGTTGTTTTTTTACAATTTATTTTGCCTAAAACAAAGGATATGATTCCCTCATTGGAAATCTTCATTTATATGATTTCGGACATTTTAGTACATTCCTCTGTTTTTAAATATATCCTTGCAAACAAAGGGACTAAAAACATTTTTTTCAAAAAATCAACTTAAGATTCTCAAGGTACTGAATTCTGTGCCTAGCATCCCATTCCATGCTTATTTCCTATATTCCCATGGAAAAAGAACAAGCTACATCCTTTTGCTCAAGTAATTAAAATGTACAGCGTTTTGAAATCAGGCTGTCTCTCCTGGTGCAAAGGAACCTTCACTCACTTGTTCCTCCAGGTTGGATGGCTTTTTCCCCTCCATTAGCTTCAATATGGCCTGCAGGGCTTCCTCGTGAGATTGTTCCTTAGAGCACTTTCTGCTCAGCAATTTAATGGCTTGCAAAAACTCAATATAGTTAATGTGGTTGGCCCCCTTAAACCTGCAGGAGACAGGGGGGGAAATCAATTAACCATACGCTAGTGGATTTTTCATTTCTCCTTAAGCTGTGACGCAGGGGTGAACCACTTATTCTTGCATGCAATTCCCATATCTATCCTTAAAGCTAGCCAAACTTTGAAAATTGGTTGAATGCCTAAAATGCAAGGCAGACTGGGATTTGGGACTTTCAAGAGTGAAAATGGTGACGATTAGCACTCTAAGAGCCTCCTGTTCCTTTTGCTATCTAAACCCTAAAAACAGAATAAAAAGAAAATGAGAATTTTTGTTCCTTCTGGGAAACTAGGAGCTGAAATACACTATCTGTCCCTTTCAACATGGCCCACCACTGTTGTAAACCAGACGGCTGAAATCATATAAGCCTCTAAGATTAAGGCTTTAATCTCTGGGATAAATACAGTATTCAGGGATCTGTGAATTTGGATGAGAAAAGAGTTACAACTTTATTTTCACTAGCCTTAACCGAAATTTAACTTTTCAAACAGACAACACAGTAAATTATGGCCTCTAGACTCCAAAAATGTTTAGTTTCAATAAATCTGCCTAAACTCTAAAAAGTATTGTCTTGTATTGAAATATGTAGTACATTATTACAAATGTCAATTTTAAAAAATACTCAAACTATATTTTGAACATAATTTGTTTCCTTATAACTTCTATCTATGCATTTTATTTTATTCATTTGAATTCATCTTTTTGAGAACTCTTATTTTTCACCAGACCTTTAAAGACGTTTATGACACAATGAAGGAAGGACGTCTTCTTAATATGGTTTGTGGGTGCAGAAAACAGTATTTGGGGGCTAAACAGAGCCAACTGTGAACAATTAGTAAGTAATCTTAGTGTTTTCAGTAGCCCCTGCAAGCTTGTTTGCAATGTTCCCACCATTATCATTCCAAGCTCACTTGACTTCATTGAAGGCAATGAGCACATCAGTGCTGGTCATGACTTTCCCATCCATCACATCACATTCCTTCAACATCTTGTAGAAGTTCTTCCTAGACATGGTGTTCCTGTGAGTAGCTGTGTTTCCATATGCAGCAAATCGAAGGAAAGTTTTTTCCAGTTCTGACATTCCTTCTGCAAGAGTGAAGGGGACATGATGTCCTTAGAAAAGGACCTAAAATTGGGTCAAAAGGGGAGGAGGGCAACACCTTTGAAAAGGTAACCGAGGGTTCTTGCTGGAAGCCAGTAATGGGAGTTGAAGACAAACTCTCACCATGAATAATGGCTATAGCAGCAATTCTCACTTCTTGCTGAAAAAGCTATAATTTTTCTCAATGTACACAATCCTGTGCCTGAAGTCAAGAATACTAATTATGTTCTTAATTGGTAAGAAGTGTTCCACTATCTGAAGACATTTTTCTTATAGCTGGATAGCTTTATAAGGGAAAACATAAATGATGGTTCACAAAACAAAGATTGAGTTTTACACTTATCATGAAAGGTGCACCTTTATTGGCTGCTGGTAATCTTTGACGAAGTGGCATTTATCCAGCTTTCAATGTATCGCCTAGGAAGGATACAACTAAGCAGTTCATTTCAAATCTCATTCTTAAAAGAACATTTTATTACAATTTTAAAAACATATTGCATTTCAAAAGTATGCACATTTTAAGTTTTGGGATGATTTGTCCTGGTATTTTTAGCATAAGATTGGAGATGACTTCAGAGATCATCCGATCCAATGTTTTTTCAAACCTGGCAATTTGTTCCCAACTTGCAACTATGGCTGGCTAGAGAATTCTGGGAGGTGAAGTCCACACATTTTAATGCCACTAAGTTTGAAAACACTCATCTAGTTTAACCAAGTACCAAAGCATAACTCTCACCGTCTTTGACCTATTTTCCTGTTATTGCAGCCACTGGCAGAATTTTTATTACATTGCAGAAAGTGCAGCCCCATTAAGTCCTCTTTATACATTGCCTGAAGGCCACCTATACATATAATTTGACATAGTAATTATGACCTTGTAGTTTGCCTATGATGTCATCATTAATGTAAAATTTCAATTCCCTATCAAGAAATGAAGCTTTGTGGAAAGAAGATGCCTCTTTTATGAGAATCCTCCAGGGGAAAACAACTCAAGAGGCTTGGGAAATTTTGAAAAGTGAGATAATAAAGGCCCAGTCTAGCACAATACCAACAAAGAGGAAAAATAACAGCTCTCAAAAGAAACCAGCATGGCTGCATAAGGAACTCTCTGATCAACTGAAAGATAAAAAGAACAAGTATAGAAAGTGGAAAGAGGGACACATAACTAAGTCAGAATATCAGCAAATAGCCCGAGCCTGCAAAGACAAAGTGAGGAAAGCTAAGGCTCAGAATGAACTAAGGCTTGCAACCAAAATCAAAAATAACAAAAAAGCTTCTTTCAACATGTAAAAAACAAGAAAAAAGTGAAGGAAACAATTGGTCCATTAGTGGGTGAAAGTGGCAAGAAGGTGACAAGCAACAGGGAGAAAGCAGAACTATTTAACTCATTTTTCGCATCTGTCTTTACACAAAGGGAAAAAACAGACCAACCTACCAAAAATAGTGCCATAAAA